GGGAAAAGGCAAACTAGGTGTCACGGACAGGCTGCACACACAGAGGAATTGAAGGCCTTCAACACACACTTGTGTTTAATTGTTTGGTTCTCATGTGATGAGAAGTCTTCACAAACACATTTGGGGAAGCAGCTTCTAGTGTGAGATGGAGAGACCGACACAGACAAATCCATCACATTACAACAACTCAACAGTGGACAAAAGTATGAGTGTGTGAGTATTTATGGAGACAGGAGTGAGAAGTGAGGTAGAGGGAAAGGGCAAGCTGTGTTTGGGGTTCAGAGAAAGTGTGTGTATGAGTGTGTGTCTGTTAGCATGTGTGTATGTGTGAGTGAGAGGTGGAGAGTGGAAAAACATACAAAAGAACTTGAGAAAGTGTTGAAATGTTTTATGTCTGGAAGCACGGGTGGTTTAAACCCCTGGAGGTGAGGGCCAGAGCAGGAGGTTGGAGACTAAACACCACACAACACCACTGGGAACATAGGATAACTAACTAATTAAAACTAGGAGGCCATACTGATAATCAATACTGTTGGTTTAGGAGGGTAGGAAGGGAAATTTGGTATCAGATGGTCATGCGTGCGAGACAGATTGGAGACAGGGCCAGGCATGATGGTGGAGGTCAAGATGAGGGGACTTGTTGGACTTTGAAAATATAAAGTTTCTCTGCACAGCTGCTTTGGCCTACAGACAGAGTGAAACATCTGCATTAGCCTCAGCACCATGGGCAGCCCACTGTGAAGAGGAATGTGAGGAGCAATATAGGAGGGAGGGGAGAGAATGAACGAGTCATACGAGTCTTGTTTTTTTTTAAAGAGAGATATTGGAGCTATTCAGTTGAAATTACCTCTCCGCTTCTCTGCTATCGGCTATAAAAACTAAAGCTGCGTGCCTCTGGCGTGACTACAGTGTGACACAACTGCTTCCAAGCATGCGGCCATGAGCTGGTGACACAATGCTGTCTGAACGCCAAAGCCTCTAATAAATCCAAACTAATTTACCGGTTACACATTTCTTCCCCTCTCTGCTCTCAATTACCTTCCTATTAACGCATGCTATAAAGCAAAGGAACAGGGAGACAAACTGTGTGGCAGCTCCTGGGAGCAGACGGAGGGCACTGAATGGTGGAGGGCCAGGTGGTGCCCTGTTAGTTTACCAAGGTAGCACAGAGGATAATTACCTGCTAGCGCTCTGACTCACTCAGCTAAGTCTGTTATGATACATCTCCCTTTTCTGATCACAGCCCCAACGTATTCATTAAATATAGAAGCAACATTTCAAGGTGACACATTACTACTAAAACTGGTAACCTAGTGCAAAATCACAGCTTTAATTGTGTGATCAGTCATCAAAATGTTGCATATCCCATGTTTACAACAATGGCAGCAAGAAAGCAGTGTTGTTTAAGTACTGCTTTATAGCTCAGTTTACTGAAATCTGTCCCATCTGGTGCAGATTAGAAGCAGAAGAACACTGGGGAATTAAATGTACCACGGTCTCTAAATGGCTTGATATTTGTTCACTTTTTAAATGCTTTTACCTTACCTCCATAAATAGAGGCTGACTTACAGCATCACTGTTACACATGCAGAGACCCCAAAGCTATGACTGAGTTACCAAAAAAGCTACAGAATAAACAGGCACTGTTTATAAGAAAAGTAAACCATGACAGTGTTACAGTGAGAAGGCATACACAGTACCATGATAGGATATGGTATTTAACCCTACAATACTGAAAGATATCATAATATGGAAAATGGTTTAGTAATCAAAGCAATAAACTGTTAGTTATACTACGATTTATTATGATTTTATTCCTGTGAAGAAAGTACTTTTTCAGAGCCAATGGGCTTGGGGCTGAATGCCATAGACAGAGTAGTGAGTAATAAAGGACAACAAACGTATAATAAAAAACATAAAGACAATATACTTTAATTGTTAGTTTTGATCTTTTTGTGGGATTTGTTGACAATTAGAAAAGAAATAGCGAAAAACATAATTTAACAATATCATGATAAGCCCATTTATAAAATGTTAACCGCTGAAGATGGAAAAACCATTATGTTGAACCAGAGTTGCCTTCCTTAAACTCCCCTTAAACACCCAAAACGATGCTAATCTATGCCAGATGAGAATGGTGACCAACACAACGACAACATTTTACAGTAAAAAGACTGAACCTCACTCTTCCACACAAATACAGGTTGATGATGATGTTACTGTTTCAGTCATCCAGGATGCAAATAGCAGACGTCCAACTCAGCCCTGTTCTGTGGTTTGGAAGGTGTAAATGGGCATTATGAGTGTTTGTGCGTGTGCCTGGATGGTTGAGTATAAACAGCCTGTGATGGAGTTTAACATGAAGCAAACTGAACCGTAGCACAGCGCAAGCCAAAGTAGCAGCCAAAGCACTGGAAGCTGTGGTTTGTTGAGGAGGAAATGCCTTAATTCACGGTGGCTGAGGGTTAATGCTGCCAGAGACCACTGGGACTACATAAAATAATAGTTATAAAAAGGATATGCAAGTGTAGAGTACGAGTATAAATGCTTGTGCAACCTGACATTGTTTCATACATGTTTTGCGATTTCATTTATAATCTTTTTCATACCATTTTCTTGTGGCCGTCTTAAGACACAGTGAACGTGCGTGTTCACTTGTTGGCGTGTTATCATGGCATGTCCAGCACACGCCCAGTGCCTGTGTGACCTGTGTTTCATATAGCTGTTTACATTCTGAATGTATGCTGTAAGCCATTTACACAGCTGGGCTTGTAAACTGAAGTGACTCAGTGAGAGGACGTCCCTGGCCTGGGGTCTGTCACTAAGCCCACACCCGCCCTGGCTGGCTACACCGGAGTCTGCAACACTCACATAAGATGACGACAAAGTGAGGCAGCTCCCCTGTGCGGCAATCAGAAAGGAAGAGATCATATTAAGAATAATGCTCTGAGGGATGTTCTTTGATCGTTGTAAAAATGTGATCTCGTCATAATAACCAGGCCCCTCTAAGCAGCAACCAGTGTGCAAAGTCTGACTAATATACCTTGGCATGGTTGTTATAGAGACATGCAGAACTTGGAGGGACAGTTTTAAAGAAAAGCCACACTCATTTTGCTCCCAGACAACCTAAATAAGAAAACAAACCCACAACGAGCAAATGTGGAAAGGAAGGAATTTGGAGAGGAAGTACTCAATCCATTCGATAGCCATCACTTACTTCTCTGTCTCTCTCTCTCACACAGATGAGGGGTAATGAAACAACTACTATGTGCTGTTTTGAATCAAGCTGGCTTGACAAATATCTGATGTCAATGCATGAGACTTGGCGAGAAAGCTAACCCTGAACTCTATTAGCAGATGCAACACGTGGCAGATAGCACATACAAAGCAAGGGCAAATGGCCACTTTATATCTAACTTACTGAAATATGTGTGTGACATGAGGCAGATTCAGCCTTGGATAAAAGCCATTACCAAATCACATCAGCCACAAGACCAGTGTGACTTTCTTTCCAGGATTCTCTAACATATTAAATAAAATGTTCTCTCTAGCCACTGTGACCCATCACCCAATCAAAAGAAATGGACAGAGTCCCAACCATCTCTTGTCTCTTTCTGTCTGAAAAATCTAAATTATTCCTTTTCAGCTTACTGCAGCCTCGGCCCTCGACTTTGCAAGTTTCTGTGGTCGAATCCATCTGTGTCAAAGCCTGTCAAAAATAGTCACAATGCAGCAGCTCCCAACGTAATTACACAGTGTCTATTGCCAAGACACTCCAACAATGATCTTTCCAGGATTGAATGCTAACTTGCAACTACTTTCAGAACTCAAACTAAATTTGGAGCAGAGGTGTAACCAGTGAATGCCTGCTCAGAAGTTGTTATCTTATCTTCCCTGCCTTTCGTAGAGAAAAAGCTAAAATATATACAAAAATTAAACACAGCAACTCATCTGAAACATAAGTGGAGCAGTTGATGTGACTGCATCATTTCTAGAGCAAATTAATAGATGATGTGTTCATCTTTTCATAAATCTGACACCGCCTGCTCATGTTGTGATCATTTACACTTAATCTCTGATTGTTGCTGACAGCATTTCTTCTGATTAGATGAGTAAACGTGTCCAGGGAAAAAATAAACATTTATCAAGAACTGAACAAAACGACTTGCATCGATCAACACAATAAATCACTGTGGAGGAACTGGAACTAACTAACTAAGCTAACTTTGATCATTATTGACTGGAATAATGTTGTTGTCTGAAGGGATGTCTCCAGATTAGAGGGAAGGGAAGAGCCAGTGCACTTTGAACCCATTCTGCTGTTGACTTACTCATTCTTTAGATAACACATGGTTGACATATTAGCTGCTGGCTGGTCCATCATCCACAGCTCCAGCACATTATCTGGTTGTTGCACAGCTGTTTAACAGAGACAGACACTGGAATGTGACACTCCTGGTATTATCTGGATAACTGCACCCAGTTGTATGTAAATATGGTTGTTGTGCAGGTCTCCTGTGTGTGCATGTAGGTATCAGAAAAATGTGTGGTGAAAGAAATGTGCTGCTGCTTAAGGCGAAGTAACAACACATAATCCAGATTTACTATCACCTTTGACTCATAGATATCCTTTGACTGAAACAATCACAACAAGCAGTTTGTAGCAACAATTCCAGAGAAATACTTTAATATATAGCTCAGACATAAAGCTAATCAATTGCCATAGAAAATTAAGCCCCAAGATTTGTGAACAATTTTAGTCTTCGAGAAAGTTAATCAAATTTTAGTTTTAGGGAACTCAAACGTCTCTGAAAGAAACCATAGGCTATATGGTACTTTTTTTTTTAAATCACAAAACTATTATTAGTATACTGTGCTTGAGATAATTGAGACTGACTGGACTTTAATAATGCACAAAAATGACTTTAGTTGCCTGAACCTTTGCCATCATTAAAATATGTTTATAATCGTTTTTAGTCTAACATAGTAAAGGTGCCTACCCATATTGACAAAGCTCATGACCATGTCTGCGTCGTTCAAGAAGTTGTTGTCTTGCAGGCTGGGTATCGGGGGTCCCTGGGTGGTGAAGACGGGCTTGTAGGGATAGGAGTATCTGTCCTCGTCCCCCTCCGTGGACATGGCGTTGTACAAGTCCAACATAAACATCGGGGCAGCGTTGTGCTTTCCGTGGAGGTGGGGTCGCGGCCGGTGCGGCAGCCCCAGGATCGACAGGATCTCCCGCTGCATCTCCCTGCGCTCCTGGCTCTTCAGTCGACGGTGGATGAAACTGGAGTGGAACTCGTTGTCTAAAGTAAAGTTCGTAAAAGCGGTGTCCGCCAGAACGCAGTAGCTCCAAACCAAGAGCAAAGCCGGGGCACGTCTGTCCAAAATCGGTGCCATGGTACTCGCCGTGCGTAATTGCGCCCAGTTATGTTCACCGAAACTCTGGAAAGTTGATATTGAACTTGTAGCAACAGGCAGCGGCTGTGTCCAATATCCAAAGTCAGGTACGGACCCTCATGTTGAGGGAAGTGCGCCCAAACGAAACATCAACTTCACTTCAAAGTCCTTTAGATGATTGGTTTTCTGGGCAGAGTGAGCTCACGCGGACCTCTGTCCTCATCCGCAGCCAGTGGCCAACAACTACCAACTGTGGTGCAACCTGTTCTGCAGAGTAGAGGAGGCTGCGAGCACAAGCGTTTCACCGGGAGAGACACGAGCAAGTTGTGAGGAGGCGCTGTGTGCTGGGAGGAGCAGGAGAGAGAGAGGGAGAGAAAGGGGGAGAGGGGGAGAAAGAGGCTGTGGTTTCTAATGGGGATAGAGCGAATGTTGGCCGTTGTAACAAGTTGGAGAAGGCTTGAGGCTACATGCGCGAATACAAAACGGATTAAAACGGGATTCGTGCGTATAATGCTTAAGTGTATGATGAAGCACATGTACCTGGCGCACCTCAATGTTCTTGTTGAATCAATAATTACAGTTATCCAGCCGGTTACAATAGGCCCCTTAGTGATAGTGTGCTTATGGAAAATAACAGACATAATTTCAGAGAGTAATTATTTGCCTGTGTGGGTGACTACAATACTTTGGGAGATGATGCAACATGAAATTGCACAGCTGTAATAGTTACTCTGCGATCCACAGGTGCACCCGAGTGAATACCTAGGTTCTTATGGTTGTGAGACTTAAGAAAAAGTCAGTGGTCTTTGTATTTTGTATCAAAGAACGAAGCAGTAGAGCTCAAAAGGGCCATCTCATGCCACATATTTGAAAATATCCAAGCTTTCTATCCCCACTGCTGGTGCAGGAAGTTTGTGACAAAGGCAGCGGTTGCACAGACACAAAGCAGACTGCAAAGGTGGGGTGCAGATGTTAGGCAGCTGCTTCATCCCTCCATCGGCCCCAGCACCTCTTAAACACCAAACTTTAATGGAACGCTCCTGACCCTCTTGTGCGCTCGCTGATACAGGCCGGGGGATTTCAGATGCACCAGGAACCAATGCTTTATCTAGACAGACCTCCTAAAACCTGTTCACTACCCAGAGTGGAGTTTTAAAGGCTCTGCAGTTAAGATGTTTTAGGGCTATAGCTTGCCAGGTGATTTTTATGGCAATAAAATTGGACTTCAATGGCACAGCACGAGATGCTGCCAGACGGCTTAAGCTATGATTGCAAACAGAGGAAGGGAGGAAAGGAGGCAGAGCGTGTCTTGGGGTCTTCTACAGCTCACCTTCCTGCCCATTTAATGTGGTCGTTCTTGTCTTCAAAAAGGCATTTCACTTATCTTTTTCCAATGACAATTCAACATGGCTTAAAGCCTGAAAGCATACACCGCCTGCCACTACTCATTCTGTATATATAATCCACTATTTGCTTTTAAATGGCCTTTCAGCCTGTAACATATAAACATTTCTATCCGGTGCCTCAGATAGAATCAGCTAATGGCCGCAGGTGTTTACATTACAGCAGTTTCCAACAGGGAACTTGAAAGGGTCTTGGTTTCAGTTATAACTATACATCTTCCTGTCTCTCTCACTTTTTTTCCCCTCTATCATTGTCTTACACTTATTCTCTTGCCCTCTCACCCTCGCTGTAAGGTTGGCGAGGTCAAACCCCCCGGTTTTCCTCCAACAACCCCCAGCCCTTTGCTCAGTCTGTGCCCAGAGAGGGGCTAATAATTCTGGGTAGGATAATAGGAACAGACCCCCCTTTGTTTGGGCCTCCATGGGCCCGATGACAGTCACAGTAAACAGTGGGCACAGGCTGAGGCCAGGCTGGGTGAGCTGCACTGAGGGGCCTTTGACAAGGAGAACTAAAGCAGAAAAGCAGAACAAATAGTGTTTGAACCTCCGTCAATGACACACAAAGAAAAAACTGGCAAAAGAATAAAAACATTTTTCTAATGTATTTCACACTTTTGTCTGAGATGCTAACAACCAATTCCCTATTAAGACATCAAGAGTTGCAAACTGTTACATTTAAAATGATCAAGTAGTCAAATATTACACACAATACTACCTGCCTACATGGCTATTGAAGAGAAGTGGATGCACTTTTGCCAGGAGAGCCAGTATGAATCACTCGAGGGCAGAACAGTGGTGAGCTGTTGAACAACCATGACTATGAAGTCTTATTCTTTTAGGGCTTACAAAGGTGAGCTCATAAATATCTTTATTTCTCATATTTATGGTCAGTTGCATCTTCCTGTTCTCTATTTAGGCAGTTATCAATCTCAAATTGCATTTAGCTCAAAATCAGTCTCTTGGCATAAGGCATTTTCAGTGCACACACATACACTCTTCCTGCTATGATCTTAGACAATCTGCACAAATACACACCTCCCCACTCCAACAGGTTGGAGCATGATACTAAGCTCCAAAGAAGACCACACAGTAATGCAGTGAAACATCCCTGGAAACTCTTTAAAACCCTACAAGAACACAAGAAAACACTTTTCATCCTCACTTTATACTTCTCCCTCTTTCTCTTCCTTTTTATCTAGGTGAGAGTTGCCTTTCCCATATGTCTGCTTATCTCTTTTTAGGAGCTCAAAAGCATGCGGTCAGAGGTCAGATTCATATTTATTTCATGTGTTGCCTCAAGAGAGCAGCAGGCAGCAGTCCTTTGAAGACCTGTGCATGCGGGGAGGCGGATGAGGTTTGGTGGAGGGGGGTCTGACCGAGCAGACGATACAGTAAAACTTCTTTCAATGTAAACTGACCCTCAAATGAAGCAGTGTGGGGTCGGGGTGCAAGGACAAGAGAGGGTGGAGGCACATTTTTTCCTTTCCCGGTCTGCCTGTCCTGTCCGCCCTTGTCTACGTTTTTGGCGTAACCCCACTGTGTGCACTGCACAAACCAGCGGCCTGTTAAAACAGCCAAACCAGGTGGAGCTGAGCTATTGCAAATGTTCCCTTCTGGTGTCTCACACTTCCAGGGGCCTCATGAACATATGAGACACAGCTGTGAGACAGGCAGAAGAAAAAGAGGGGGTTGGTATATGAAACAGCTTCAAAATAGTTCACTTGGTAAATCCAATTTAGGGTTTGGGTTAAAAGGAATTTTTAACATTCTGGATTCAGTATCGAATTATTGAATCCTAGTGCATTCCTCTTATAAAAACTATTACGTTTTGCATTATTCAAATGAAACTCCACTTCATGTCTAGGACCTAAACGTTTGGCCATTTAGACTATTAAGCTAAAAGACTCATTTCCATGCAGGTTAAAAACAATTTGAAATATTGGCTAAGCTTTTGTATAATCAGCACTTTACAAATAGAATAGAGTAGAATAGAATAGAATATATCTTTATTGTCATCACACATCAATATTTAACAGAATGATAACTGGCGCAAATCCATACCTCATTTTAATATCTGCATATTATTTGAAAGATTCAGTTTCATTACAGCATCACATGTCCACAAAGCATTCAGAGATTCTATGAGGAACACATGATTGTTTTTGAAAATCCTGCACATTGCAATCATTCTTCCCATCATCACTCAGTACCTACTTTCGCCTGTATCCGGCATATCCTGTCACTACTGCTTCTGTCGGCAGCCAGATATGGTGCAGGGGAACACCAGAGTAGCTCGGGTCTGATTCATAGCTCTCAGCAGTCCAGCCAGACCCATCAGTTATAGCTGGTGTCACTGAGATACCGTTTTAGCAAAGCTTTCCAAAATGCCTGGCTTAGTAGAGCCTATCCATTGCAGGATGTTATCACTCAGGCCCTCTGTCACTTGTGTCATCGGCACAGAGTCCGGGCTTGACGCTGAGCTGGTGTCTTCGCCTAGCCAGCCACATACTTATCAGCATCCATTACTGAGGTGTGAGGGCCTGATAAAGGTCTCCTCAGGTCCATACAGCTCACGGCAGAGGTCCTATTTAGATTGTTGTCTCTGCAGCGAGAGGCCTTGCCCCTTTGACTCTTGCTCTCATCACTTTGTAAGGCTGTGTTAGTCTGTCAATCAGAGGGGACCCTGGGTGCTCAGTCAGCTCCTCTTTAGGGGATGCTGGTCTGAGAAGCCATTAGAGAGGAGGCGGCATAGCCAGACTAGTCCAGGCCAAAAGCTGATGAGAAACAGAGGAGCAGCAGGGCCTGGGGTAGAAAGTGGGGGGGATGGGGGGGGGGCAGAGGAGCAGGAGGTGGATGTGCTGAGCTATGTGGATTGTGAAGGGAGGGCAGCTCTGTTTTCTATTTGTGAGGATTAGGTTGACAGATCTGTATTTAGTTTCTTTGGGCCTCTAGCTGCAGCTAATCCCCCTCACCTGCAGCGAGTGCCCCCACTTTCTTTCCTCTGACCCTGCAGCCCCTTACTTCCCCCATGTCCCCCCTCCTGCCCAGTACAAACACTCATCCCAAGACAAGCACATGACTCGTTGCACTCTGTCTCCTCAGGTTAGGGCCTCACACTCGACACAAATCTCTCCCGGGCCAAAAGAACAGCAGGGGTCTCAGCCTTTCTGGAACAGAAGAAAAAAGGACCCTTACAACCTGTGGTCTTCCACATGTTAAGATTTGTTCAGCTTGGGTGAGGGGTTGTCCATCATCACCTAGAGATAGCAATTACTCTGAAATTAAGAGCCATTACTACGGAAGCAGCTTGTCAAAGCCACTCAGGGGAAAGGGGGACCTTTGGTAAAGCTGCACATTAGGAAATATTCAGGGTCAGGTCAGGGGCACAGACCTCTTCTCTTTAGATCCCGGCTCCCACACACTCTGATCAGGCCTTCACACTGTGAGAGAAAGACCGCAGTGCCTCCGCAAACACACACACAGCGTGCCTGCCAGCAATTGTTGAAGGTGGGGACTGTGTGTGACCTAATAGTTTTAGAATCTAAGCACATTTCTCTGTTTTTACAATACCGTGACATGACTGCAACATGATGCAACAAACAGAATGAAACAGATTTTGAAAGGTCGTGGACAAATATATATGTGGGATTTTCTCAAGGCTTAATATTCAGTAATGCAATTTGAATGTTTGGAGCTTAAAAGAGCCATACTTACTCAATAAGTGTCTGATTCATGAACTGCCGAACTGCCTTAAAAACAGAGTAAGCAACATGTATAGCCCTAAAACACATGTTGGCCAGCATTATCGTTACACACAGCCAGGATCAAAATGATATCTAGAAATCACTTCCACATGGCTGACAGATACAATATATATTAGGATTCTCTTGGACTCTAACCAGTCAAT